TGCCTTGGAAGCAGGCAGTCGTGAGTTCGATGCCCGGTACCGATAAAAACGAAAAAAGACAAAAAAAAAAAAAGTAAATATAGATCCTCTTATCATCTTCTAGTCTTTGTATTATTGCTGTTTGTTTTCTTGTTATTTTTAAGAAGTTTTTCATTTCATGCTCCCACCTTACAAATCTGTCCTCCAGTTCTAATAATCTATTCTTAGTTTCTTTCAAGCTGTTATGCCAGCTTTCAATAGAGTTTTTAGTTTCCTGGTAATCTCTTTGAACCTGCTTCACATATTCTATGTTTTCTCTATTTTCTCCATCAAACAATTCTCCCCTTTTTTTCTGTTCTTCCATTCCACCATCTGTTTTTTCTTGGGCGGTGCTTAGCATTTCTCTAACTATTCTACTTATTTCTTGCTTTATTTCATTAAATACTTCATTTTTGAACTCGTCTATGAGGCTCTGGAGATACCACTTTACGTCTATAGGTGCCGTGTTTGATATTGCATGTTTTCTGTCTTCATTCTCTTTTGCATTTACCTTTCCTGCATCAATGTTCTCAGGATTAGGGATTGAAGACCCTTTCTTGTTGCTCCCTTTTCCCATACTTTTTGTTCCTTCCATACAAGCATATGTAGGAGGCCCAGTTTCTTTTTCTCTCTCTTTTTTTTTTTTAATTTAATTTTTTAAAAATTTTATTTAAGGAGAAAAGAAAAGCAGAGAAAGGGTACAAGTTATACAGATTTACAGAAAAAAAAATAAACAGTAGGAAATCACTAGTTAATGGATTACATATTGTCATCTTAGAAATAATTGTTCAAGTCACAAAATTAAAGCTTGTAAAGTGGACATTCCAACGATGATACTGCAAACAGTTCTGTTCAATGATCCAATAAAACTCAGTGATATCATTTTCTATCTTATACACTTAAATATACATGCAGTTATATAGTTTAGAGCACTTTTTTTCCTCTCTTTGGTACAATGACTATTACACATTTTGGGTTTCATTGCTCCCACAGTTCTTATTACTTTTTTGGAAGAGAGTAAAACCAAATGTGACATAACAGAACAGAGTCGGTCAAATCAAAAAGGTGGACATAATAGATAATGTTAAAACATAATACAAGGTGATCAACAATGGTTACCATAATGCCTCCCGCTATCTCTAATAGAATTGCCTATATCATTAGTTATAATAAAATTGAGCAAAACAGTAAAGAACAAAACCGACAAAACCAAAACACTGGAGACATTGTAGGTCTTCAAAAGTAGATAAAAGTCAACGAGAATGGGCGTCATAATGAATCTCATTATCTTCACAGCTGTTGCCTAAACTTTTGAACCTGATACTATCCAGCAAAACAGAATAGGGGAACATCAGTCAAAAACAAGATGGTGAGAGTAATACAGGGCTTTAAATCGAGATAATGGAAAGTCAACGTGGGTTACTATAATATATCATGCTAATTTTATTTATTTTTCCCTTAATTAAAAGGATAAAAATAAAAAAGTAAATAATGGAGTGGAAATTGAGATAAAGGAGGACATAACAGCAAAACAGCGCAGATCAAAACATAACCATTTAAGCAGAATAGTGTTTCACCACCAGATAATCCTGACATAAATGTAGTTACCATATTGTCTCTTTCCTTGAAATCCTTGAGTACAACTTCGTATACTGTAGCATTAAATATATCAAAACAATGTAAAACCATTTAAGAGAATGACAGCATTACAGGGTATTTAGAATCGACTAACAGAAAATGAACAATGGTTTCTGTATAATCTCCTTGTCTTTAAAAGGTTTTTGCTTATACTATCATACATAATAAAATCCAGTAAGATACAACCTATTTAGACCAATGGAGACAGAAGAACAAAAGCTTGATGAGACTTCAAAACAAGATGATACTAAATCAGTATTACCTATTAAGGTGTCATTTTCTCCAAAATAGCTGTTCCTATCATCCAATCTTCTCTGCCTCATTTCTGTTGAGCTCTTTTTCTGTCAGTAGCTGTCCATTTGTCTTCTTCATTTTGTTCTCTGCTCCATTCGTTGTGGCCTCCCTGCCACTATTTCTGGGTTCTTTGTATTTTTCTTTTTTTTAGAATATCCTGCAATACTTTCTGTAGGGTTGAATTGGTGGTTGCAAATTCCCCCAGTTCCTCTTTATCCTGGAAGCACCTTGTTTTTCCATCAATTTCCAGGGACAGTTGTGCAGGATATCTCAATCTTGGCTGGAGATTATTATCTTTCAAAGCTTAAATTATTTCCCCCCACGCTCTTTGTGATTTGATGGTTTGTGCAGAGAAATCTGCTGTAATTCTGATGGGTGTTCCCTTGTAAGTGGTCTGTTTCTTGTCTCTGACAGCTTTTAATATTCTGTTCTTGTATTGAATTTCTGGAATTTTTATTATTATATGCCTGGGTGTTGCTCTGTTTGGGTTGTAGGTAGCTGGGGTCCTGTATAGCTCATACATCTGAGTATCTTTACCTTTTGCTAAATTAGGAAAATTCTTCTGGATTATTTCTGTGAGTAGCTTTTGTAATTCATTTGTTTGTGTCCCTACTTCTTCTTTTATGTTCTTAATCCTTAGTTATGGATCCTCTTATCATCTTCTTGTCTTTGTATTATTGCTGTTTGTTTCTTTGTTATTTTTAAGAAGTTTTTCATTTCATTCTCCCATATTACAAATCTGCCCTCCAGTTCAGATAGTCTGTCCTTAGTTTCTTTCAAGCTGTTATGCCAGTTTTCGATAGACTTCTTAGTTTCTTGGTAGTCCCTTTGAACCTGCTTCACGTATTCTATGCTTTCTCTATTTTCTCCATCAAACAATTCTCCCCTCTTTTTCTGTTCTTGCATTCCACCATCTGTTTTTTTCTTGGGTGGTTCTTAGCATTTTTCTAACTATTCTGCATACTTCTAGCTTCAGGTCATTGATAACTTCATTCCTGAACTGATCTATGAGGCTCTCTATATGGTGCTTTATGTCTATTGGTGCGGTGTCCGCTATTACCTGTTTCTCATAATTGGGGGCCGAGGAGCCTTTCTTGTTGCTGCCTCTTCCCATATTCTCTGTTCCTTATATATGCAAGCTTACATAGGAGGCCCAGCTTCCCTCCCTGTCAGCTACAGCCTGATCGAATTGCGCTGGTTAGGTGTTCCCACCCACCGCAGCACACCAGGAAGTTCCAGACCAGACAGCCTACGCGGGGCCTGCCCCTCTCGGCCACAGTCAGGCTCTGGGATCTGGGTTGGGCTAGTGTAGTGGGTCTGCCAGCAGTGTCACGTAGGCCAGGCACTTTTCACCAATCCCACCTGAGAGGGGGATGTGTGGCTGAAGTCGCCATCGCGCCCTGCTCCCGCAGGACAGCCCGGGCCCAGAATGTCCTCCGCTGGAGTCAAACTGTGGTAGAGTGTCAGTTTCTCTCACTCACCTCACCACAAGTCAGTGCACGCCTCCCTGCCCATCCTGTTTTCGACTCCGTTTGCAGATTCCCATTCTCAGAACTTCCGCACATCTCTCTCCTTGCGGAGCTGATATAGAGGCAGCCGCCTCGCAGCGGGAAACCCAAATCGCAGCTTCCAATGGTGCGGGCTCCAGCCTCCACACTGAGGCTTTTCTGTTCCTGTTTTAGCACCAGGACTGCATTCCAAGTTGGTTTCTCTCAGCCCAGTTCGTTCCTGAGTCAGCAGAGCATATCTCCACCAGCTTATGTCTCCTTACTCCGTACCCTTCCTGACTTCTGAGCCGAGTCTTTCAGATAGCCTCCGTAGTAGCTGTTATCTGTCTGCCATGTTCTCCCAGAAGTCCCTTCTTTTTTTCTCTTTTTCTGTTACAGTTTGTTTGAATCTGCTGGCTAGGTGTTCCCGCCCACTGCAGTGTACTAGGGAGACACATACCTGGGCAGCCTCTGCTGGGCCCACCCCTCCAGGTCAGCCTACTGAATGCTTCACTGCTAGGGTGCACTGCCAGGCGCAGGGACCTGATTTGGGCTAGCCTACTGGATCTTAGTCCACGGCATCACCAGGTCAAGCGCTCCCCACCACTCCTGCTTGAGAGGGGAATATGCGACTAAAGTCACTGCAGGGCCCTGTTCCAGCTAGTCTGCTCGTTCCCAGAATGTCCTCTGTTGGAGTCTCCTAGTCTATGGAAGGGTCCCTGTTCTGCTCACTCACTGGCAGGTCGATGTAGGGCTCCCTGCCAGTCCCACTCTCAACGCCGTTTGGTTCGTGGATTCCAGCTCTTAGAGCTTTCGCACGTCTCTCTCCCTGCCGTGCGGATTGGGACACTGTATTGGCAGCAGGAAATTCAAATCCCGGCTTCCAATGGCATGGGATCCAGCTTCTGCACCGAGACTTTATCTGTTCCTGTTATAATATCAGGATTGCATTTCCAGTTGGTTTCTCTCAGCTTAGTTCATTCTTGGGTCGGCAGGGTACATCTCCTCTCATGTAGGACTCCTCACATGGCACCGCTCCTGGATTCTAAACTGGTAATCTCAGAGAGCCTCCATGGCTGCTGTTATTTGTCCGCCGTGTCCTTCTCTGATGACTTGTAACATCACCATCGATCAGGTCACATGATTTAACATGGAGTTCACGACAGAATTCCAAGCATGCATGCTCCTCTTCTCTCTCCACCAATATATAGTTCCACACAACACAGATCTAAGCCAGTTTTGAAGATGTGCACCAGATCTTTATGGCTTCAGATACTGCTGAGCCCTGAAGAATGTGGACGTGCATACAGACCTTGCATCTCCTGACCAACTCTGATGTGTATGCCCTCCCTGAGGTAGCCAAAGCGCCACACAGGGTTAGCACAGCCACGCAGAGCTGCCACAACCCACTGCACGCACAGCGCCGCCTACATTTGCAGGTCCCACAACCGCCTCCACTCTACACCCACGTGCTCAGTACTGATCATATGATTTTGATATTCATTCTGTAACGTGTATTGCATTTAATGACTTCAACAATGCTGTTTAAAATTTTTGAAACAGGTACTGTCGGCAAGTGCTTTGTGAAACGGTTCGAACTACCAAGTTGACCCCAGTTTCTGCCCAGCTTCAAGATACTGAAGGAAAGATTGATCAATTCATTATTCCTAGAGAGGTGGGAAACACAACATTTATAACTCATTTAGATGCTTTTGCCAGCTCTTCTAATATGTATTTAAAATTTTTATTGCTTAAAGTAAGTAAATGCTATATATTAGTTATCAAAGACACAATCTTTTAAAAAAAAAATTCCAAAATAATATGGGCTTAAAGTTCAAATAATAGAGAAGCCTTCCTTCCATATATATACTGTTGTCCATAGTTTAGTATGTTTTTTATATGTTTTTTTCTATGTATGTTACACTCTGTGCAAACACATGTATACATGTCTTAGAAATTGAATTTAAGTATAAAAAGTAGCCAGGCATGGTGGCACAGGCCTGTAATCGCAGCATTTATGAGACTATGGAAAGAGACTTGCAGTAAATTTGAGGTAGGCTGAGATACATAGTGAGTTCAAAGTCAGCCTAAACTCTGTAGCAAGACCCTGTCTCTTAATTAATTAGTTAATTCAATCCCCAGTACTGGAAAAGCAAGCAAACAAATGCATGAAACTGTAGGATGAATTGATTTTACCTTCACCACCTAATTTGACTTGCTCCCTTTCAGACCCTGGTCCTGTATGCCCTCGGGGTAGTACTTCAGGATCCAAATACGTGGCCATCACCATACAAGTATGAAGTAACTGTTCCTACTTCATGATTGCTAATTTTTATGTGTTTACATGTTTTGCGTTTCTCTTTTTCTAAGTTTTGGGGAGAAAATTCCGTTTGTGACAATAATACAATAAACAAAAGCCACTGCCTTCCTTTCCTGTGTTCTTTGATCTTTTTCCTCTTCCATGAATCTTCTGTCTGCTACTCTTTTATTGCCACTTGTATCCTAAGATCTGTTTGCCTCATCTCTGCATCTTTAAGCTCAGTAGGATTCTGGAATTCTTTTGTTGTTAAGCAGGCATTGCTTATGCTGGGTTTCTTTTTCCACTCCATTGGTCACAGCTATTCTGCTCCATAGGAGAATCCAGAGATAGGTGTTGTGTCATGTGTATATGTGTCATGTGTGCAGACAGGGCAAAAGTGAAGGACAGAGTTACTGTTGTTTAATTCCCAGAAGCGTAGCTGGTAAAACCACCTCAGAGCAGCAGTGGAGGATTTATTGTCCTAGAAAAAGGTTACAAATGGAGTTAATTTAAGATTAGACAGAAGTGCTGAGACTTCTGATATTGCTGCCCACAAAGTACTCAGAAAATCTAGTCTACAAATTGAAAATGGTGGAAGAAATAGATTCTCAAATGTGGAAATGATCTTTAGAAGTCAGATATAATCAAATTTAGGAGATACCGGTGGTGGCATTTTGCCTAGATATAGCCTTCCTGAGGCTGGGCACTTGCTTCCCCATACCATGTGGAGACCCCAAGAGACTATTGATAGCACCAGGAGTGCACAGGCCTGAGACAGACCTCAAGGAGGGTTAGATCGTTTGTGGTTCTGGTATAATTGTCACAAAGAGGAGGATCAAAATGTTCACTGAACTGATTGATGTCTGTGGCTGAGTAATATTCCATTGTGTGTAGGTGTCAGAATTATTCCAACTACTCACCTAATGAGGGATATTACAGTTGTTTCCAATGTTTCGCTGTTGTAAATGAAATGCCTGTAACCATTCATACAAGTTTTTGTTTGAACATAGAATTTCCTTTCTTGGAGGCCGGGGATATAGCTCAGTGGCATAAGTACCTGCTTGGCAAGCATGAGGTTCTGAGTCGATCCCTGGTACCAAAAAAAAAAAAAAAAAAAATTCCTTTCTTTGGGATGTATTTGTGGCCAAGAGTCATGGTAAAATAGGTGTTTAGTTTAGCATGAAAGTGCCAGGCTGTTTTTCAGAAATTTTCTACTACTACTTTACCAACACGTTCAGTTTCTCTGCAGCTTCATCATTTATTATCATTATTTAAAAATTTTTCTTGTTCTATTGTAGTGAGTTTCATTGAGTGAACTGCTGACTTTAAACTTACTCTCCCTGTAAAAAAAGTATTTAGATGTGACTTACTTATTAGAAAAAATGCATAGAGGGCCAGGGATTTAGCTCAGTAGTTCAAGTGCTTGCCTGGTAAGTGCGAGGTCCTGAGTTCGATACCAGGTACCAAAAAAAAGAAAATATGCATAGAAGTACAGCACTGATGTGGACATGGTGGCACATGCCTGTAATCTCAACATCCAGGAGGCTGAGACAGGAGGATCACCATGAGTTCAAAGCCAGCCTGAACCACATAGTGAGACTCTGTCTCAAAAGCGAACAAAAAACCCCTGAAAAATAGCAGTGCAAAACTGCTACAACTACTACTGCTACTGTGCTGGCAGTGTATCAGAGTACTACCTCTCAGTGAAATTCGGTGACTGGAGTGGATGATAATGTAAATATTCTTTTTTTTTTTTTTTCTTTTTTTTGCACAGAGAATCAAACTCATTACCTTATGCTTGCCAGGCAGGTACTTGTGCCACTGAGCTAAATCTCTGGCCCAGATATTCTACCTGAAAGATGAAATACATCAGCTTTAAATACTAGACTGAAAAACCATCAATTTTGAGGGGCCAGGGGTTTAGCTCAGCAGCACAAGCTCCTGCCTGGCAAATGCAATGTCATGAGTTTGATCCTTGGTACCAAAAAAAGACTTTAGGTTTTGTTACAAAGCTGTGGTTTATTTATGTCAATATGTAAAATACCAGTGGAGCTATATTGTGATTAACCCCAAATTTCTTTCCAGGTTTGATCCAGATCGCTTTGATGATGACTCAGTGATGAAAACTTTCTCTTCGCTTGGATTTTCAGGCACACAGGAATGTCCAGAATTGAGGTGAATAGTGGAGCAAATTACATGAAAGGAAAAGATCCTAGACTTAGAACTTGGGAGGCTACTATTGAAATACAGTGTTTAGTAACTGGTCAGTTTTCTTGCTTCCTAGGTTTGCGTATATGGCGGCCACAGTCCTTCTGAGTGTGTTGGTGCGGAGACTCTGCCTCCTTCCTGTGATGGGGCAGGTCGTGGAAACAAAGTACGAACTGGTTACAGCCACAAGGGAGGAAGTCTGGATCACTGTCTCAAAGAGAACTTAAAATTGTGCACATTTAAAAATTTTGTTAAATAGACTGAAGAAAATGACCATTTAGAAAATACATGATAAGTCCAAGTATCATTTTATAATGTAAATGCCTAGTGTTACTTTATTATGTAAATTTTATATTAGATTTTCTTAATGCATGAAATGCACTTATACTTAATTACACCAATATATTGATACGTCCAATAGAGAGCTTAGTTTTCTATTTTTAATTTTTATTTTATAAGCCATTATTTTTATCGTTTTCTTATTTTGATCTCTAAAATGAATATTCTAGAAGAGAGAAATTATCTTTTTTTTTTTTGAGAAATTATCTTGTACAAGTTGGAATCGTTTTTTCTGAATGTTTATAAAGAAAAACACAGTCCTAATTGCTTTTTGTACTTTAAATGAATCACTTTAAAGGGAAATAAAGAGGATTTACTATAATTTCTCTTTTGGATTATTTTTATCTCCTGGCTGTTAGCTTGCTTTGATCATTTCTGTTAAGTTTGAATAATTCATTGAGTATTCTTCCATGTATGTTTGCCTCCCCACACATCAGTGCTCATTCAGGGGTTCACAACCAGGCTCATCAGGAACAGGCCCAATCCCCTGGATGATGCTGGATGTGCTTGGAAGCAGGCCTCTCCCATGACAGGCCAAAACGAGCTGGGGCCTCTGTTGCACTGGACATCTTGTAGTGCCCTATTATTCTACTAATTGACATCTGTGGAAGAAGCAGAATTCTTAAGTGTGGGTTTTATTATTTTGTCGCATTCTAGACATAATAAATCTGTCAGTAAAAAAGAAGAGAGCTGGACTGAAGCCCCACACCTGTAATCCAGCCACTTAGAAGTCCAGTGCAAGAAGATTGCAAGTTCAGTGCTAGCTAGCAGAGGTAATGTAGACCTGTCTTGGGGGAGGGGAGAGAGAGAGGGAGAACAGGAGGTAGAGAGAATCAGGGTTTAGAGAAACAGATACCACACAAGATACACAACTGTGTAAGAAATTACAAGATCGGCTTACAGTGGTCAGCCACAGAGTCAGATGAGCAGACATTCAGGGGCCGAATAGTGCCAGAAGCCAGGAAAGACGACCAAGCTGAAGGCCCAGCACTGGAGCTCCGAAGAAGAAGCATCAGCAATGAATGCCAACTCATTTGCCTTTTATTGTATGCACGCTGCTCGGTGAAGTGCGTGCAGCATTCACACTATCTGTCTGCCTTCCTCCTGCACAGGCTGAGGATGTTACAAACCAAAGACCCTGGTCCCTGCGGAATCACTTAAAGCTCTGACCACCTCAGATCTACACAGTGAACAATAACTGCTTGTCCTCTGCACCTCAGGATACCGAGCTGTTGAGTTACGTAGTTAAACTGTTAGAAGTCTCAAGTTGACACAATGTAAAACCATAAAAAAGAGAAAGAGCATTAACCAATATACATAGCTGGTGTGTGTGTGTCTGTGTGTATGTATATAAATTTGCATAACATCCATATTACATATGAAGCACTTATACAAACTAGTAAAAGTATACAATGGACAAAGTAACAACAAATAGCTTTCACAGGAGAAAACGACTTTTAAAAAACTGCTCTGTCGGGCTGGGGATTTAGCTCAGCGGCATAAGCTCCTGCCTTGCAAGCAGGCAGCCGTGAGATAAAAACAAACAAAAAAGACAAAAAAAAAAAAAAAAAAAAACTGTTCGGTCTACGGGGTTTGGTGGTACATGCTTATAATCTGAGGCAGGAGGATAGCAAATTAGAATCCAGCCTGTCGTACTTAGTGACAGTAAGACCCTGTCTCAAAACGAAAATTTTTGAAAAGGACTGAGGATCTAGCTCAGTCCAAAAGCTGTAGGTTCAGTTTCTAGTACCAAAAATTACATAACTATTATTTTAGACCAATAATGAGCAGTTAACAAAATTTATATGCAGACTTTATTTCTGAAAAAAATGTTTAATTTATAGACAAATTTATATTATAGGACTTTTAGTGGAATATATTCTTCTTTTGGGGGGGTACTGGGAATTGAACTGAGGACCTCACACTTGCCAGGCAGACACTGTGCCACAGAGTTAAATCCCCAGCCCTAGTGGAATCTGTTCTTAGTTGTTGGGAGCCACTGAGTTAGTGAGAGAGCATGGGGTTGAAGCAGTGAACACCAGTAGAGGGGCACAGTGTGATAGGGTGTAAATGAAATGCACTGGGGTTGCTAAGTAGTCTCTTCCTCCCGTCTGAAGAAGAGCTACCCCTGACCCCAGCTTTCTGTCTCTGCCTCCGTTTTCTTTATCCTCTCCTTGTTCTTCCTGGGGAACTTAGCTCTTAATTAAACTGTTAGAAGTCTAGTTACTGTTACACTGTTTCTAAACAGACTATTGTTGGGCCCAAGATATATGGCTCAGTGGCACAGCGCCTGCCTAGCAAGTGCAGGTCCTGAGATATGCAGAGCTGGCTATATTGAAACAGATGCTCCCATAACTGGCTAAGAGGATGTTACCTGGAGGAGGCACTGGTGGTCTCATTAATAGCAAAGCTGCAGCACCGTGGTCAGTGAGAATAGCCTCCATGTTGACTGCTGGAATGGAGGCTTGAGCCACAGCCTGTGGGATTCCAGGGCCAGGTGAGATAATATCTCAGCAGCCTTGCATACATCAAAATTATCTGCTAATTGGAGGCCTTTGTGCCTGGTATAGCTACAAAATTTCTTTTCCGTATGTGTTCTGCTAACCGCATTCAGACCCCTGACTGATCCCAGTAAAAGTCATGGCTGTTGGTGATGAGGCCTTGTGTTCCTCACAGAATTTTGGATTACGCCACAGCTCCTTAACTGCAGAACTTATTCTCTGTTTTTCTTTTGCCTCCATGTGCCATATGGCTGGGTGGCTTACACTGATACCCTCAGCGAGGGTTTCGGTAACTAAACTTTTAGATGGACACCCTCAGCAGGGGTTTCAGTGCTTCTCACCTGTGTGTCCTGGGGAAGAACATCATCCTTTGTTGTCCACATTCAGTGGACCAGATGAGATGAGAGGTGGCTTGTTTCTCAAATTTCAGTTTTTATTATACACAATGATCCATCCACTGGTGGGGGCGTTGGTTCACATACATTGTGGCTTGTGTCTAGATGTCACCCTAAAGCTTCATATACTCCCTAAAGCCTAAAGCACTCAGAAATCCAAGCACTTGACCCCTAAAGCCAAGAGAAGGAGACTGGCTACTGCTCCAGATGGCAGCAGACCATGGCGTCATTCAGGTTCCAACTTAGGTGCATGTGGTACCAAAGAGTTGCTGGGTCAGGAAGGCTTCCTCCCTGATTTCAGAAGGCAGCCTGGGAAGCCTGGCAGTGTGCTCCTGAGTGGACAGTGTGTGAAACTGATTGTGAAGCTGAAGATGCAGTGGAGACTCCAGAAGACTGGAGAGGCCAGGAGCGTGGATTGACTGAGGAAAGCTGCAAGGAGTGAGTAAAGCCAGTCAGAGAGAAGCCATGGGAGCTACAACCACCCGCAGTGGCTTAGGGGTGGAGTCACCCAAGCCCTTTGGAACTCAAAGACTGCTGGGGATGCTGGATGTGGAGCTATGAGATTTAATGTTTGCCCTGCTGGATTTGAGTCCTGCTTTGTTCTCATTCCATCCTATCCCCCTCTTTGTATCTTTCAGAATGGAAATGTCTATCTTGTGCCATTGAATGCTGGGAGTGCTTAACATTCTTTTGTTTGTACGGGGGCTCAGAGCTAAGAGTTTGCCTTAAATCTCAGGGGAGAATTTAAACTTGGACTTTTTAGCAAGGCTTCAACCGATAGGACTTTGGCAACTCTTGGAGTTGGACTAAATGCCTTCTGGATAAAGGATGTGTATGAGTCTTTGGGGTTCCAGGGAGACACGTTATGGCATTTGTCTAGATGTTCATTTCAGGGTCATGGCCTGTTCCCAATCTCCTAAATGAGTGGACAGTGAATGGTTTAAATAAGAGACCAGTAGTGTGCTTTTTTGGGGCTTCCAGGATGTATTTGTTTTAAGTAACTATTGAAAGTTATGTAATACAAGTACATTTGTAAAAGGAGAAAAAATTAGATGCCAAAGGAATCAGGTTCACTCTCTAATGACCACGTCCATGTAGCTGACTAGTTTTTCTATTTCCCATACATTTTTATGTACTGAATTCATAACTGTATTGTGTAGTCTTCACTTAATCCTTCTTAAACATTTTCCTTTTTGACTTGTTTTTTTTTTTTTGGTACAAGGGGTCAAACTCATGACCTTGTGCTTGCCAAGCAGGCGCTTGCTTATGCCGCTGAGCTTAATCCTGGGCCCTCTCACTTAATTTTTAAGGGCCTACAGAGGTAGATTCTTTAAAGAACAGACTTCTAAAATGGAAATCAGTTAGTTTTTGATATCTAGAACCTTCCACACTGACTAAATGTGTTTTTCCATTTCTACTCATTTGGCAGCCAGCCTATTCCAGGTACCAGGGATGTAGCTGGGAACCACACAGGTGTGACTGGCTGGTATGCAGATGAGTTTGAGTCCTAGCACTGGTGGTGAGGGAGGAATGCACACAAAGGAATAGACATTATCATGTGTGTCTGTGTTCCACCCTGGGCTAAAGAGGAGCCACACAACTTTCCCACAAGCCCACCCCACAATCCCAAAGCTTTACTACCTGAACACAATCCCAAAGCTTTACTACCTGAACCTTCTAGCACCCAGAGCTCTCCATGTCTGTTTTGGAAAGCAACACAGGAAAGAATTTACAGATAATTACACAGCACCACACACAGGAGGCTGCAGTGGGAGAGAAATGAGGAACTTTTGGAAATCAAAATACTACTTACCAGTGTCTAAATAAGAGGAATAGGTGGCTTATCAAAGAAAGCTCTCATCATTGATTCCAATTAGGAATATTGAGGAACTGTTAAAGAAACAAAGTGAAGACTTGATTTATCTAAGTTAAACAGAGTATTTGCTATTTTTTGAAATGCTGCTTAATTATCCTACAGCACTAGGCATATTCATTTTCATGATTTGTTACATATGTTGCACAATAATAGCAAATAGATAATTGACTTGTAGAGCTTTAAAAGATCTTTTAGCAATTACATGGCATGACCTGCCAACAACCTAAAAATTAGAAGACAAACTTGGAGCATCCAGAAGTAGAGGAGTAATACTGCTAGGTGTTTACCTTGGACTTTTCTTACATAAGTGCTCTTGAAGACAGGCTTAAGTCTGTGTTACTAGTATGTGTATAGGATTCTGTTAAGCTTCAAATAATATGTTCATAAGGAATTTGAAAATAATTTTTAAAAATATTCCTGATACAGAACCTTTGGGGGAGATGCAATGTGCTTTGAATGCTAAATATGCTTAGATGTAAAAATATAGATCATCAGCAAAGTTGCCATGACAACCTTTCTTAATTTGTGTATACATTTTATGTTAGTCTCT